TTCATTTTTAGGTTATAAAATCAACTTTAAAGTGAGTGAGTGAATTTGTAATATGGAACCTTAAATCACAAGGATAGGTTGTATGTAAACAGGCAATTCAACAACTATTAAGCCAACAAGATGATGTTTAACTTTACAGTTAACTGGTGGAACATAACATAAAATTACCACAAATTTGGTGAAAGACACTGGCAAAATCTTAAGCTATGACAATAACACCTGCAAGATGTCAGGTGGGATTAGGAACCCCTTAGCTATGGTGGAGGACGATGGGGCTCCTCTCCTGGAAGGGGAATGCATGCCTACAGCTCCACTCATGATCTCTGTCCTCAGAGCATTCTCACCTTCAGATGCAAGGGGACACAGGACCATGGTCCTCCGAGAGACACTTGTGTCAGTGACAGTGAACCCTGAGAAGGCAGGGGGTGATTACATCAGCACTGACTCACAGATCTGAAAACTGAGTATTAGATAAAATGCATGTGGTTTATATGGAGTTTTAGATTGGAAAACCTTCCTCATCCACATCCAAAAATCTGGTTTTGTGCTACTTACAGGAGATCTGCATAAAACAGAACACAAAAAGAATTTTTTTAAAAAATGTGCTTCAGAGGTAAAAAAAAAAAAAAAAAAAAACAAAAAGTCTTTGGTAAATACAAATAAAAGAAAGTAGATATAGCAATTTACTCCAAATTGAATTCCAAGTAAAAAGCATTAAAAGGGACTGTGGAATAATAAAAAAAGATACAGTCTTGAAATTACAGTTTTTTTCGCTATTAGAAACTACAGATAGTTAAGGACACATGAGCAAAATATTAAAGATTAGAAAACAGAAATGGAGGGGGTGAAGAGAGGGCAGGGATAAGGTGAAAAAAATAAGAACCAAGACCTGTCATGTGAAGGTACAAGATCCCAATAATGAATGTAACTGTACTGTATACCTAAGATATACCAATAAATTCCATGAGGAAAAAAAAAAGAAAGAAAAAAGAAATGGGTGAATCTAGTATGCCTGTGGATGACTCACAAATTTTCAAACATCTGCAACTTGTAGATAAAAAATACTTTTAGTAACACATGTAATGTAACTGATCTAATACATAAATCAAGGAAAGTGAAACTACCATCAGAGCACATTTATTTTTGGGAATACCAGAAAATATTCAGAAAAACTGACTGTAGCAAATTGGCCACAAAGAAAGTCTGAAAAAGTTAGCAAGAGTAAAAAAGGACTAAATTCACTAATAATAGTGCAACAAAAACCAGGGAACAATAACAATTTTGAGGAAGTTAAGGAATTATTTAGCAAGACACAACATAAAAACTTAGTCAAGTAACAGAAGAATTCTAACTTCTATATGACCAAGAAATAAGATATAATTATTAAAATCATTAAGAAACAAGGTAAAGGGAAAATGGTCAAAGAGAACTAATAAGGAAACAGGACTTCCTACCAAGAAACATGGACTGACACGGTCAGTCTCACTAGTAATGGGGAAAAGGGGAGGAAATCAGGCATGATAACATTCTTTCTCCTTTTAGAGTGGCAAAAATTCACAATTTCTGAGGTTGTTATGAAATCATTTTATGAAAGAGAAGGAAAAACGTAGTCTCTTCATGTCACAGCAGGGAAGCAGCCTGTGAACAACCCTTTTCCATAGAGGACACATTCCAAGACTCACTACGTTCGGATTATGGAGGTGCAACAGCTGACCAGCTGTTAGCAGGCAGGGTCCAGTTGGAAGAGGTCAGTCACTGTGCATGTGATCTGGAAGAGTCAATCTCCCTTCCCAGCTCCTCCCTTGACTCTGACTTCTGGCTGCTGCGGGGTGAGGAATTTTCATCTATCATATTCACTTTGCCTAGAGCTGGCTGCCCATGCAAGGACTGAAGTTTCTAAAACATGAGCCAAAATAAACCTTTCCTCCTTTAAGTTGTGGATGTTGTGTGTTTTGTCTTAGCAACAAGGAAAGTGACTAAGACAATCTCAAACCTTACATGTCCTCATTTTTTTCCCTTAAGGAACATACCCATGATAAAATTTAATTTATAAATTAAGCACAATAGAGATTAACACAAAAATAATAAAATAGACCAATGGTGACATACTATAGTAAAGGTTATGTGAATGTGGTATATGTATCTCAAAATATTTTACTTGCATTTTTTAACTTAAAAGGAGCACTCTAATTTTCTCTTTGGCATATCCAAATTGCCAGGAACACTACTCTTGGGCTTTGTGATGATTATTAAATAAAATGCAAGCACTGTGGCACCGACAGTCAATCTGATAAGCAAGATGGCCCTGAAGTGACTAACAGGTAGAGAGCATACATAGCAAGAAAACACTAAAGGGCTATGTCCTAGGTAGGATGGAGCAGGACAGCATAAGGGTTCATCGCCCAACTCAGAATGGATCACAACTTAGAATGCAATGATTAGTTATTTCTGTAATGTTTCACTTAGTATCTTCAAGCTGGATTCAGGGTAATTAAAGCTTTCAAAAGTAAAGCTGTGGATAAGCGGTGACAAGTGTGTAAAAGGTGAATCACACCCCTAAGCATGCTTCATTGTTAGAATCTATCATCCCCAGGTATCTGGGGTCAAGGCAGGGCTACTGCTGCAGCACTGATGGTGGACATGATGGAATTCCCACTGCTACAGCAATGGTCACGTGCTCCTGTGCAAGTCCGGAGAGAGAGAAGAACACCAGGGGAATTTAAAATTCACTGACATGGAAAGGTATTTAAGAGTATTGCTAATGAAACATGTCAACATGTATGAAAGTAAAAAGAAATGAAAAGATGTATTTTTCTGGGTACATTTATATATCAAATGCTAAGAAAGCCCCCAGGTGGCCCACTCTGTGTCAGAGGAAACTTTCGCCAGCTAAAAGCCCTGGGAACAGAAGTTGGGAGCTTTAACTGTGTTGCAACTGTCTGAATTGCTGACTGGAATGTGTCAATTTAATTCATACCTTGAAACAAGAAGGAAATCAACAGCAAGATGGTGTGAGATATTTTATATAAGTAAGTATATATTTATAATCATCATATAAGTATATGAAAATATTTTAATTATGAATTACAATTATATAATTACATGAACAAATGGTATATTTACATATTTATATAATTATTCAAGTTATATCTGTATAATTATATATAAATAAACCATAATCATATATACATATAACAATATGCATATACATGTATATGCATGTATTTCTGTAGTGCTAGGAACTGAACCCAGGGCCTCACACATGCTAGGCAATCACTCTACCCCTGAGCTTCACCCTTGAGCTCTACCCCACTCCTAGTATATATTCATAACAGTACTATGTTGTAATAGTATATGTTTATATAAACACAAGTGTATAAACACTAGAGAAATTAATGAATCAGCTTTTGAAATGACAGCATTTTCCAAAGCCTCATCTATGTGCATGTGAAGCAGTTTCTTAGTCCTAACCACCCACTGTATGAATAATTATTAAGGAGTTGCTCTAGCACTGCTTCTTTGATTCCTAAGACTCTGCCTCTTTCAAGAAGGCTGCTGATGTGCACAAAGACGACCCTGCCCCTGGGCTACACTCAGCCAAACACGGCCCTGAAGCACACCACTGGGTGGTTAATGGTCCAAGACACCAGGGATTAAGAGTCAAGGAAGACTGCCCAGGTCCCAGAATACATGTTCCTGCTATTGTGCAGAACATCTGAAAGTGGAGCACTTGCTCTTCAGTGTGGCTGTTGTAGGATATGAAGTAATTTTAATTGTGCATTTCAGACACAAACAATAAAACAAGTAACTCTCCATGCGCACAGCAAAAGCAACTAGCAGTGCAGAGAATCTCCCAGCATAACTGGGGCGACAGTGGGATGACACCGCACTGGGAAACAAGATGCCCAAGTCTAAAACCAGACTCTGTCAGCAGTGCACCAAATCTCAAGTCTCCCATCTGTAATGCAGGTTGAAGCCCCAGCTATAGAGGTGTCCTGAGGCTCAGTGCGCACAGATTTATAGACTGCAAATGTGCAGGTTGGAGATGTAGCTCAGTGGTTGTGCTCTACACTGTACTAGTCAACTTCTCATCACTGGCACAAAATACCTGACACCGACAACTTAAAGGTGGAAAGGGTTGTTTGGCTCATATTAGAGTTTAGCTCTAAAACATCCCCCAAAAATCTCATATGTCAGAGGTGGAGCTCTGGGAAGTTGATTGGATGATGGGGGCACAGCATTCAACTGGACTGATGAGTTTATAGCTGAGTGTGCCATTAGGAGGTGGGGCCCAGTTGGAAAAAAACAGGTCATAGAGGCCATGACCTGGAAGGGTCTATTCTTGTCCCTGACTCCTTCCAACCCTCTCTCTGCTTCCTGGCTGCTATGAATTGAGCAGCTTTCCTTTGCTTTGCCACTTCTGCCTTAGAGCCAGCAGACCACAGCCTGAGTCCTCTGAAACCATGAGCCAAACAAACCTTTCCTCCTTTAAGTTGTGGGTGTCAGGAATTTTGTCCCAGTGATGAGAAAGTGACTAACACAATGGTAGAGCACTTGTCTAGAATGTGCAACGGGCTTTGATCCACAGCACAAGAAGGACAGGAAGACAGGAAGATAGAGAGAAAGAGGAAGTGAAGATGTGTGGTGTTGGGATTTCACAGTGAAAATGCCTCTTTGCTGGCAAATGCCTTCATGAACAGGAACTCCTGGACTTGGCAACCTGATGCAAATGTTTATATTCCATTCAGTTGCCCTTGAAGGTCATGCTCACTGAAAGCAATTAACAACTTTTGTTTGTATGACATTTCTTCTTTACACAAAACATGGAAAATGTAAAAGCTTTCCAGCCCCAAAAAAGTGCACTGCCATCTCGTGTGAAGCCCAGCCAATTACTAGCAAATCCGGTGAAGTATGGAGTAAGCTGGCTCTGAAACCTGCATTCTTATGTAACAGAAACCCCCAGAGCATCGGAAAATGGCCTGAGGAAAGCAAATACTTACTGAAAGTTATGATTTGGGCTGTGTGTTGGACCTGAAAGGACAAAACAGAGATGTTACTCCGAGATCAAGATCTGGAACGTAACTGTCCTCAAACTAATGGTAATCAGGACAGGAGTCCAGGGGCTCATTCGTGGCAACTGCCCTCAGCTTGGGCTCTGCTTTGCTTGTGAGGAGTCACCAACGATGCCAGAGAGGGAAGGGAAGGGTTGCTTTCTATATATGCACATACTCTGAGAAATACTTTCAGGGTTTTTGCTCCTTTCTCTCTTTCCTCGTCTAAGCTTTATACACAAGAGCTATATGGTTTTATGATTTGGAGTGGCAGAAGCTTGGGGCACTCATTGCCTGGCCCTTCCCACAACTGGGACTAAAGACACATTCCTTCCTGCCATGCATTCCTTCACCACATGTGACAAGCTCAGAAGTTCAAAGCTGTCATCACTATGCCCTCCCAGCTCAACTGAACGAGGTGTACATGGGACACAGCGAGCAGAACCTGGCAGAGGCTGTGGCTGGCCAGCTTGGGCCAATGCAGCAGACACCAGTCACACCAGTCACCTTGTGTGCGTGCAGTTCTCCTCTCTACTCTGGGTTTACCAATCACTCCATCTGTGTCTATTTTCTTTCAGTACTAGTAAAGGGGTAGCAGAGCAAGCTAGATTCTTATCCACACGGGGGAAGGCCTTAAGGAATAGTTTTATTGATTTCCTCTCATGTTAATGTGTGTGTTTAATTTCAAATAGCAAATTAATCTCCTGCTGTCTGTGAATGTTCCCAAGCCTTTGATGCCTGACTCACCAAGCCGCACATAGAGGACTCCAGTGGCAGTAATGGTCTTTATTCCATTGGTAGCCACACATTGGTAGTAGCCAGTGTCTGTTGTGTCCAAGTCTTGGATTCTCAGTCGAGAACCGTATTCTGTCTTCCGGATGATGATCCTCCTGGGCTCCTGCACAACCGGCGCATCATTCTTTAGCCACCGCACATTGGGGGGTGGGTTTCCTGCCACCTTGCAGTGTAGAATTGCAGTCTGACCCTGGACAATGGTAATGTTGTTTACTGGCTCCAGAAAATTCAGAAAGTAACCTGCCAAGGAGAGGGGTCACAAAAGAGCAAATATCAGCAGAGGCTGGGAGGCCCTGTGGCCCCTGTATGAACTGCTATGGTGGGGAGGTTCCCATTTCCATTCATCTACATGCACACCGCCAACTCCACTCGTAGGCAACAACTGCACTGCACTCTAGTGAACATGAGCTGCAATGGGAAAGAAAAGGTCAGCTTGCTGCAGCCTTTGGTCGCAATGTTTTGTGAACCAATTTAAGATATAACTTGTTTCTGCTGAGTTCTTTTTATCAACACACATTGCTGATTTCTTTGCATAGAGCTTATAGTCAACAGCACTAAAACTCATGTCTGAATGAAATTCTTTTAACATATACATTTTCTGTGGAAGGTATATCACAGACTACAAACACTGGACACCACTTCAGCACTGTGTCTGGGGATCCTTTTAAACATAGGAATCATCTATATAAAGGACAAAAGTTCCAACGATGTGACATTAAATAGGCCAAGAAAAGGATGCATATTCACAGCATGACAGAGGACACCAGGAAAAGTGTCACCTTGTTCAGCCACAGCTGGGAATGTAGGTCTTGATACCCCCGTGGAAGACTACAAGAACACGAGTAGTGACCCAGGCTGTGAACACATTCTACACATTTGGTGAGCTTCAACTACATAATCCACACATAATGAGGCTCAACTGTACACTTCTCTTTCCAAACACTAAATCTAACCTGGGCTGGTCAGTATGATATAAATTCTATACCTGATTAAGCACAAAGCCACATTAAGTACAATATATAAAGAAAATGTGCAGCAAAACACACTTATCCCCCAGTAAGCTCATTACTGTCCTATAACTAGAACAGAGACAACACTGAGAAGACCAACAGCCCTGTTCTGCTGTTCCCTGGTCAGGAGAAGGGCAGGGCTCACTTATTTGAGGGCAGACAGGGCCTGATGATACTGGCCTACGGAGTAGGCAGAGCTAATCTTAAGGAAGGAACTGGAAATGCCACATCCTTGTGTGTGGAGGCCTCAGCCAAACAAGTTCAGGAGCTTAAATTCCAGGGGGCATGAGAGAAAGTCAGAGGGGCAGGAGAAAACTGGTGTACACGTGTGTGCACATGTAAGTGTGCATCTGTATGTGGAGTGTGTGTCATATGTATATGTATGTGCATGCATGGTCTTTGCATGCATACACTTGGGCAATGTGGTCCAGGGTTGACAGGGTACTCTCTCTCAAGACAAGCAAAATGAACTTCTATAACAGTGTAAGGAAGACTAATATTAGATAACACAACTGCTGGTGAGCAGGTGAATTTATTTTAGACAAAATTAATATATTAATCTAAAGCAATTTTAAAAGATGTTCAATTTTCTTATGTAAGATGGCAGAGTACTTGCAACAAACCTATACACATCCTCCAAAATATTTTAAAGTCATTTCTAAATTGCTTATAATACCTAAGACAGTGCAAATGCTTAGAAATAGTTGTTGTTTAGGAATAACAAGGAAAAAGTCTACACATGTTCCATACAGACACAGCTTTTTGTTTTAACATTTCAATGTACACTTGCAAAACGCATGCAATCTATAGATGCAAAACCCATGGGTATAGGATGTTAACTGTACATTCACGTTCTGAAACTTTTGGCTTGTTTTTGGTTGGCTCCAATCCTTTCTTCTAAAATGCAGTTAAAAGATGGCATTTGTCTATCTTTGCTTATTTAGTTGCAAAATTTAAGGACTTATAGTGGTCCCTGTAACTGAGAAACATTGTTGGATGGCTGCTGGTCCCGGATGTTGAGTGGGAGCAGGTAGATTTCAAGATGAGGGTATGGTCTTCAGGCACAGGGGCTATCTGCAAAGGAGTCACTAATTAACAACTACTATTTATGATTATTATTAGCAACATCATTAGGTTCCACCTTGGCTGTCTCCTGGTCAAACCTTTTTTACTTTTACTTTCAGACAAGGTTTCACTAAGTTGCATAGTCTGGGCTCAAACTTGGAATCCTCCTGTCTCAACCTCTCAGAATACCACAAGCCTAATTCCAACTATTTCTTACTGTACTCACTAGATTATGTTGTAGAAGCTAATCTTATGAGTAACACAGCTGGAAGGTAACTGAAATACTGACAATGTTCAAAAAGTGACGCTGATGCACAGGATATAATTCTAAGTCCTTATTAATTCAACCACACAAATGCCACACTGGAAGCCTTGTGTTCTCAAAGCTCCTGCGTTCTGGATTCCACTTCAGTCTTGTTGAACACAAATCTAATCTGCTTTGACCATGCAAAGCAGATATAACCTGGGCTGCCCATCTCAACACATCATTTTACCATGCTCTGGCCAGACCAGGTTCACACTAGAACTGAAAAGAATTTTCCTAAACGGCCACAGGGGAGGTGCTGATGCAATGCATATAAAAAAATCTGCCTGGAGAATGGACCGATGGGGTCTTCCCAAGATGACACACAAATCCCAACCTAGGCCCAGAATTAGCTACCTTCAAGCTCCAATAAAAGCTCAATGGGACCAAAAACCAGAGATTGATAATTAGGGAATTTTATATATTTGTAACTCTCTCACTTGATAAACAAGCCTCCAGGAAGCTGGGAAGCCAGATAATGTAGAATACCTAGTTCACAGCCCTCCTAACTTTTCTTCCCACCCTTTTTCCCAGAGAAGGAGATCCTTTCTCTCTAGACCATACCAAGCTGTCCCTCATTGCTCAGGTGGCCAGTAGCACTCTTTCTCCACGGGTCTTTGCCACTTCTCCAGGGTTCACTCTCTTCTGAACACCACTCCACAGAAGTAGTTCCATGGGTGCTCCATCTAAGACAAGCTCCACTCACTCCTCCCCTCGTTTCATGGCCTGTTGCTAGAGCAGTATCACACTTGCTAAGTGGTGATGAATGAAGTACATTTGGATAAGAAAAACATCCGTTACTCTCAGAGGAATGTTTTCTCTACATTTTAGAATCACTTCAATAACTTCCATTTAAAAAACAGGGTTTTGAAAGATAAAGATCTGCATGTATAAAAAAGTGAACCTCTGGACAGTACTGAGGAGGCACAGTAGATGTCTATTTCAGACCTACTGCAGGTCTACTTAGCAAAGCTTTCCAATTTTCTTCATATAGATTTTTGCATCCTTTTTTCCAGGTGGATTTCTAGCTATTTCCCCTTACTGTAGTAAATTTGGTTTTATTTCTATTATTTCTGTGGATTAGAGATATAGAAAAGCTATGAGAGCAATTTTCTACATATTGTATTGATTTCCTATTCCACAGTAACAACTGACCAAAAACAACATAGATTTATTATCTTACACTACAGATGTCAAGAATCCTATCATTAAACTTTCACTGAAGTTCTTGTTGAGAATCTGTTTTTTTGTTTTGTTTTGCCTTTCCTACGTGACAAATATTGCCTTTATTCCTGGCTCAGTACCCCTTCCTTGCATCCTTGTTTCCACCAATACATCTCCTACTAAGCACTGGTCTTGCTGCTTCCCTTTTCTAAGGATCCCTGTGCAACACGCCTTACGAGGATAACCTCCCCATCTCACCATCCTTAATCACATCTACAAAGTCCCTGTGCTATTCAAGGTAACACATTCCCATGTCAGGACATGTACAACATTGGGGTAGCATTATTCTGTTTACTACATAGATTCTCCTTATGTCTTGCCTCTTTGCTGAACTATCTTTATTAAATATTTTGAGTTGAACAAAAACAAACGCAGATGTACTCAGCTACCTCATCTTTGACAAAGGAGCTGACCATCCTCAGTGGAGGAAAGATAGCCTCTTTAATAAATGGTGTTGGAAAAACTGGATGTCAACCTGCCACAGATTAAAACTAGACCCTTATCTTTCACCATTTACTAAATTAAAATCCAAATGGATTAAAGATCTAAATATTAAAACAGAAACATTAAACTTGCTGGAAGGTAAGTTAGGCAGAACTCTGGAAGACATTGGTATAGGAAAAGACTTTATGAACAAATCCTCAGTAGCACGGCAACTAGCAGATAGAATCAACAACTGGGATCTCATCTTACTAAAAAGCTTCTGTACTTCAAAAGAAACCATCAGCAGAACTAAGAGACAATCTACAATGTGGGAAAAAATTTTTACCAGCTGTTCCTCAGACAAAGGACTATTATCAAGGATATATAAAGAACTCAAAACAATCATTCCCCCCAAATATAAAGACCCGATTCAAAAATGGGCATCTGAAATGAACAGACATTTCTCAGACAAAGAAGTAAAAGCAGCAAGAAAATATTTGAAAAAATGTTCCACCTCACTGGTCATTCGAGAGATGCAGATGAAAACAACACTGAGATTCCACCTCACCCCACAAAGAATGGCTGCTATCAAGAAATCACACAATAACAAATGTTGGCGGGGTTGTGGGGAGAAAGGAACCCTTCTCCATTGTTGATGGGAGTGCAGACTAAGGCAACCACTACGGAAATCAATATGGACATACCTCAAAGAGCTTGGACTGGAGGTTCCATTTGACCCAGCCATCCCTCTGCTGGGTATCTTTCCAAGAGAACTAAAAGAATCATATCACAGAGAAGTATGTGCACCCATGTTTATAGCGGCACAGTTTGTAATAGCTAAATCTTGGAAACAGCGTATTTGCCCATCCGTTGGAAACTGGATAAAGAAGTTGTGGGTTTTCTATAAAATGGAATATTACTCAGCCATAAAGAACGAGAAAATAGATTCATTCATAGGAAAATGGATACATATTGAAGATATACTCCTAAGTGAAATAAATAAGTCACACATGTGTAAACACCAAATAGTGTCCCTGGTGTGAATAATCTGCAACAATGCATAAGATTCTAATAAGATTACTGACATTTAGAAGTGGGAAGAAAGGAGCTAAAGGTGTAGGGAAGGTGGGATGGGTAGGGGAAGAGTAAAAAGGGAAAAGAAAAAAACGTGAGAGAATGAAAAGATGAAAATAAAGTGTTTGTAGATGGGGAGG